TGTTCTTCACTCTTTTCACCAAAATTTGAGATCTTTTTAGTTCTTATTTTCCGGAGGAAGAGCCCACCAAAATTACTTTCCAATATTAGCAGATGTGCAATCATCTGCATTTGATTTCTTGGGGTTCTGACCTTGCTTAAGATGGCTTACCTGAGAGAATTTACGAGAAAAAATATCAAATATGAACAACGAACAAGAGAAAATCCATAGAAAATGGTTGCACCATAATGACTTTGAATGTTGTGTTCTTTCCGCAATTCTAAAGCAAAAGGGCCTTGAAGAATTGAAATTTGTCCTATATTAGCCCTTGGTTATAGACTTATAGTTATATTGGGTTGACTTGCTAACGATTTGCTATTTTGAAGTCCGCCAAGCAACAAAATAATGTATCATAATTTAAACAAAACGCTCCTTGATATTTGTAGTGCTTTTTGGCCTAACCATTATGTCGGCAACTATTTCACGAATATGAACTTTCATTAGAAAACGTCATACCCTAGCATTTTTTGTTCATATGGCGAATCGACCTGCCTATCAATTACTCCGCCTCATAAAAGTTTGGGTTTTACAAATTGCACCTTCAAAGTGGGATAATTTATATACCCAGAAACCTCAAGGGTATTCTCCAGAAACTTCCAAGGGTATGAGAGAATACTTGCAATCAAAAGGACAATATTTATTAAAGAATTTTATATTATGTTATATAACTTTTAGTTTGTATAATTTACAAGAAACGGAATGTCTTACTAAAGAGAGAATGGAACAGGAAATTCATTTAATCCTCCAATTTGTCCCGCAGCCTACGTGATTACTTAAGAATATTAATCCTACTGTTTCACAAAACTGAAGATCCTCATTTATAGTCTAATTACAAGGTTTGTGAATTAATCAAATAAATACAATCAACCAGAGAATAGAGGCAACCATATCCAATTTCTCTGGTTCTGTTCTAATCACTAGATGTTGAAAATGTAATGTAATGGATTCCCCATATTTTATACATTCTTGCTACCTAGTAAAACTTCAAGGCAACCTGACTCGTGACTAGTTTTTCTCATCATCTACCACTATATGTTTGGTAGACATATAAGCTAGCTTATAGCTTATTTGGTTAGCTTATAAGCTTCTTTGATTTAAATAAGTTTCATTTGGTAGGACTTTTTTAAAAAGCTCTAGCTTATCTCATAAGCTTCTTTAGGTAGCTTTTCAAATAAACTCGTTGAAATTTTTATTTCAGCTAGCTTATTAGCTAATTCTACCAAACACTTTTATCATATAAGCTAGTTTTTCGGTTATAAGTCATAAACTATAAGTTATAAGCTCGAAAATTACTGATAAGCTCGAAAATTATCAGCTAGTTTTACCAAACATAACCTAAAACAATAATACTATCACATTAACTCAAATACAACTGTTTCTCATGCATCAGAATTAATTGTGAGCATAAAATATATTAACTCACAGATCCTTTCTGGCCAGTTAACCTCCGACTCGACGGGGCCCGCGCAACTGATGAAGCAGCAGCAGCTGCCGCCACACGTATCCTGCAGCAAAAAGTTCCATAGGCATTTTCATCCAAAAACGCCATGCATACTATACTTCAAAGATTCCGAGTCTCTTTTACCTTTTATGCACATCAACATATTCATCCGTCTCATCAACTATTTCCTCCTGCACTCAAAAGAACCAATGAAAATACATAAACAAATAATAAAATATAAAATAAATCAAAGTAAAACAAAAACAAAACACACACACACACACTAAAACAAAAGGTGCAAAAATGGAAAAAAAAATCAAAATAAATTGTCGGGAACAACTACCAAAAGGTCTTCAAATTGGTTATTATGGTAAAAAAATTTACCTGCAAAAGTTCTTCAAATACATCTTCTAAGGTGATAATACCAATAACTTCACCATCCTCAGAAAAATCCGATGGAAGGAGCAATCCATCACCATGCACCAGGTTGTGTTTGGAAGGCGGCCTCGAGACTCTCTCTATGTCCACCACAATGTCCTCAGCCTTCATTTCTTTGTTCGAAAGCAAAGGGATAGTTAGGTCCGAATCTCCCTTTTCACTCTCGTTGGGTTTTTCCACAATAGACGGAGGCTTCCGAATTATCCCTTTCTGCCTCACCACAGCCGCCATGTGGCTGCCGCCTTTTTGGAACTCATTGAGTATGTCGTAAAGGGGCATATCTGCAGGCACACTGGATGAAGAAGATTGTGAATAAGTAATTTTTTGGGTAAGGATGGTTTGCAGAAACTTTAAAAGGTGAAAAAGGTCAAAAGAACAGACTTATTTGGACAGCTAAAACAGTTGAAAGGAAAGAAAAAAGTTTCCAGATTTTTCAAATGAGAATTTCTGCAGCTTTGCCCCTGAACCTGGAAGTAGGAAAAAGGGAATTTTTGTCTAGGGAATAAACAGGGAGCATATTTTACATAAATGTCCTATAGTGCTTCATTTAATATTAAAGTTGTAAACCAGTTTATGAATAGGATTAGCAAAGACAGACATCGTCAACTTATTCGACAAAAGTTCAACTATTAGCTTCAGTTTGCAAACAGTTTTCACTTTTGCTACAATAGAATATTTTACTTTAGAAGGACAATATTTACGCAAACACTTGTATTGATGAATCTGTTGTTATTCATAAGCATGTGGTAAAACTCAATTCCAATACCGTGGAATTCTCCGAATAGAAACGGAACTAACTGGTGTCTCTGTTTCAGCTCTCACCGTGAGAAGACTCTTTACCTGACGACAGAAGTGATATAAAATGGGAAAAACATATAACATCTCTGCACATGCAGTAAAGGGTATAATTTTCCAGAGGTTTACCAGTAAAAGCCCAATAATGTTTTTGGGGTTGCCAGAATATACAGGAACTCGACTGTGGCCACGAGCAAGAATCTTACCCATTGCTTCCCTGAGACGAGAAACTGAACGTAAGGTCTATCTTTAACTAAAAACAACGAATCGGATCAAATAGAAACTCGTGCGTAGACAATAATGAAATGTGTTTTTATTCTTTTCGGGATGAGAAGGTACACAACTTTTTACTGAACTCATATCCGAGAAGAGAATAACTTAAATTCCAGTTTCTGAAATGCACTGCCTTTTTCAAGAACTGAAGCAATAAAACCAATAATGATTCCCGAAAAAACACGTTAAGGGCATGAAATAGCATCAAGTAACTCAAATTACAGATTTTTATAGCAAAAACTGCACGTCACGTCTCCGGAAGTGGAACCTTAGAAGTGAATTCCGTTCAATATACTCAAATTTGAGAAAGAAATAACACAGTCTAGAAAATTTTTTATATTTAAAATGAGAATTAAGGTGAGTAGGCAACAAGATACAAAAGTTGCAATCCTGTATAACTTTCAGCTGGATTACTTTGTCAACTGGCAAGAAAATGTTACCAGTCTAATTTGGAATTGACATCCAAGGAAAACGTCGACTCAATCGGGGTCATGGCTTCCTCAGCAGTCTGGAGAACAATAAGTTGATAATGAAAATATATATTATTGTAATAATTAGAAAAGACAACTTTAAGATACTGCACAGCATCAAACTAAAGATCCATGAATGTTATGCTCGCTGCATTAGATTACAGGTTAAAAAGGCGAAAAAAAAAAATGTTATGCTCGCTGCCCGTGTTGATACAACAGCAATGCTCATGAAGATTAAATAACTGGGTTTATCCTGATTAAAGGGAAAAGAAAAAAAAAATGAGAGAGAGAGAGAGAGAGATATCGAGTGATCAAAGTTCCAAACTTACCTTTTCTGTCAAATCTAGAGCTCCACTAATAATTGTTGTCTCATCATGTGTGAGTTCACCACCTTTGCCAGCCTACAACCAAAAATGATAGCTTAATAGTCCAATATAAAAACTTCATGCACCAAAACTCACAAAAGCAACACAGACCATACATGTTATTAAAAGTGTACGGTTAGTTACCTCTTGGCTGTGGATAGAAACAAGAGCCTTTAGCTGTGCTCGTCTAAAGAGTGCCTCATTATGTCCCAAAACACAATCAAGAATCTGAATGCCATAAAAAACACTCATATAATTGGTAATTTCATAGTAAGTAGTTTCATGATAGAAGATGAAATGACATGACTGAAGCATAATGCTAAACAGTTCAAAATTACAAAGAGGTTACCCGTTAACCCCCAGATATTTTTTGCATACCCTTTTTCTTAAAATTCAATTTCTGGACTTTCAGCAACATAAGCATTCCTCGAACAATAATATTTCTTTCTATGACTGAATTTGCAAAAACTCATTGGTTTTCCAGAATATTATGAGAACAACTTTGGCCAATCAAATTCACAAAACATGTGCAAAAACAAATTAACCTTGGTGATGCACAAATTACCTTTCCGATAGGATAAGAAATAGGATAGCATACGACCATCAGTATCCGCACGAGCCAAATAAAATTGGCACCCACAGCAAGTCCATATCTAGTGCATATGGCTTGAGGAATTACCTGACAAAATT